GCGAAATTCCTAAAGGGGGGCGATATTCCTAGGAGATTCGCCCCCCTGGGGGGCGATAATCCTAGGAGATTCGCCCCGGGGGGGGGGCGAATATCCTAGGATATCGCCCCCCTTTTGAGAGGGGGGGGCGAATCTCCTGGGGGGGGGGCGAATCTCCTGTGACACCGGATTGGCCGTTTAAAATAGAATTGTAAGCATGCAAAAATATGTAGGTGCGGTAGTAGACGTTTGTGGGAGTGGCGACGATACGAATTTTTTATGCGATTCCACAATTTGGTGAGTTCCGTAATAAGACAAAGAGGAACACGACTGAATGGTCAATTGTATTATAATTACGGATGCAGAACGGAGCGTTTTAGAGAAACTCCACTGAATGGTTACAATTTTAGATACATTTCATGATATGTGACTTGATAGCAGGGATGCCGGAAGTTTCTGAGGACAAGGGTGCGACTTTTGTATCAAAAAGAATATTTTTAACAAAATTAGGCACAATCAAAAATCAAAGTGCAGTTACCTACTGATAATACAAATAAATCAAAGTTGGAGAAACAAGGAATTTGTGTTTGTATAATTTGTTGATTTGTTCGTGTTTAATTTGTTCTTGTCAAATCTTTTGCACCCGATTGCACCGTTGTAAATACAAAAGGCAAAGGCAAAGAGTGCACTTGCACCCGCTGCACACGTGGTTCATCCCTGCTTGATAGTTATCTTATAGTCCTTATAGCATAATATTGTAAAACTTAAAGTGCCTATGCGACAATTTTTTTTATGATTGGATTGCAAAGTTCATTTAAAATCACAATATAGCCTAACTTGTTTTCTAAAACTTTGTAATCTTTCCTGTATGTCAAGATTTTCGACTTTGTTTGATATACAAATGTGACTTAAATGACGTCACACTGCATAATGCGTTTTACAGAAGACTGTGTTGTAGCTTGTTAAAATTCTCATTATCTCAAATTTACAGACGAAATGATCGCTTTGATAGCTCTTAAAGTATGTCATTTTCAATGTCAGTGGAATTATCACATGTTTGGCAAGGAAACGTTTTCTTTCTAAAAATCATTATGCAGTGTGACGTCAGATTTGTATATCAAACAAAGTCGAAAATCTTGATTTACAGGAAAGATTATAAAGTTTTAGATAACAAGTTATGTTATGATTTTAAATGAACTTTGCAATTCAATCATAAAAAAAATTGTCGTATAGGCACTTTAAACTTACTATTGTATGAGTATTGATATACATTTGATTGTTGCCCTACGATTCCAGTGCCGCGCTCTAACCGCACGTTCGCAGGTTCGATTCCTCCCAGAGGGGCTATAGTTGCATTTTTTGCAACTGCTCCTGGTTAGATCTGATAAATGTATAAAAATCACACTGGAACTTTCCATCTACAAATCCATTCAACAATTAGTTCTTTCAAGTGAGATGCCCAAAAACCTGATATTTGCATTATATGCTGATTGATTACCAGACTTAATTTGCATTTATCACATCAGTAAAATATGGCTCAGGCAATTGTAAACAGCATTACAGTAAATTCAACATGGTTGGTTGTAGATCGTAAATTTTGAGAATAAAGTTGATGGTTTGCAACTTGCCAAAATCGTTAGTTTTAAAACACAGTCTCAGCTCGAAGTATTTTGTGTAATATTGGCTTGGTTTAAGTTACTGTACGGCCTGTCCTGCTTGCAAAGAGTTAAGTTTAGAACTAATATTTGCCTATTTAACCTTAGGTATACAAAAATACAGCACAAGGAAGGAACTGAAATGGATAGATACATAACCGAGACCAATATTACACCAAATATTTCGAGCGATCTTTTTTACAACCAGCGGCTTTGGCAAATTGCAAACGACCTACCTTATCCACAAATTTTGCGATTTACAACATCGCCTTAAACAATTGACTGTTTACAATGGAATTAAGCCATATTTGAACGTGGTGTGCAAATAAGTATCGAAGTACAATAAATGCTGACGGTGGAATTTTTGCTTCTCCGCCCGAGTGGCTGGCATTTTAATCAGGCAATTTATACTGCTTAAATAAGGGCCTGTTCATGCATGAGCTCAGCTACGCGGGAATCTTAACTGAGTCAGATCTTATTAGTCTGTCTGTTTTACACACAGGAAAATTAAACATGCGTCTATTCCTTACTAATCCTTAGTCCAATGTCGGTTTCGTTTAGTTTCGACATCAGAACATATTTCTTCAAAAAGTATATTCGTTAGATATTCTCTTCGTTCGTATGAAGAACATAAGTTTAGTGCGACCTGATAATTAATGTTTGGGAATATGATTTGCATTGCGCGTTTTTGGATACGTTCTAATTCATCTGACAAATACTTGCATGGGTAATCTATTGTGGAAAACAGGACATGCGTATTCAGTTATAGGGCGAATACAAGTCATGTGGAAAGTTAAAAGTTCCTTTTCGGCAATTTTGGCACGTTTTTGAGTTGCCTCAGGAAATACAACCGAGTGGAAGATTTCTTAACAATTTCCTCTATATGATGGTTCCATTTAAGATTATTGGAAATGTTCAGACCCAGCAATTTGATGGTAGTCACATCGGCTAGGCGAGATCTTACCTTGCGCTATATAGGTGGGATCTAAGGCCACCTTTACACTATACCGGATAGCTTTCTGTAGCGGCGCGAAAAAGCACCAATCCGATATACGGAATGTACAATTTTCAGAAGCTGAGCGAAACAACATCTCTCTGTTGCAATAATTCCTCTGAAAATAGCGTTCCTAAAAGGTACGGATAGGCGTTTTTTCATGTCGCTACGGAAAGCTATCCGGAACAAGAGTAAACGTAGCCTAAGTCAAGTGCGATAAAATATGAAGGATCAGTATAGCACCTGATCGGGATGGACATTTTTTGCCGATTTTGACTTGTAATATGTAGTATTGAACGGCATAGTTCAATACTACATATTACAAAAACAAAAAATAAACAATAATAGATCTAAGCATGCAGAGCTAGTTTAAGTAAATATCGTCCCACCGAGGCGGGATATTAGGTGGGATACAAACAGTCGCATGAACATAGGAATAATTCATGATTCCACACATTCCACAGGTGAGCAGCAAACCAAGCTCGTGGCTCATATGAATAAGACCTAGGTATGGTACAGGGATCATCCTAAGAAAAATTTAAAAGTTTAAAACGGCCTATTTAGACTATAGCAGACTGTGAGATGGTGAACACAGGCTGTGTGGCAGTAACGAGAGACGAGGTCATGGCGTATTGGATACCTGAATAGCTGGCAGGCATGCTCTCCTAGAAAAGTCCAGAATGGCAATTCCCTGCATTTTCAGTGTGACATTTGGGTTTTGGTTTTGCCTAATAAATATCTGTATGGGCGCTTCATTTAGAACTAATTTTTACTCGAAAACTCAATTTTAGAACCGCCCATTTTAAGTTTTAGAACTAGCCATTTTATATTAGAACTACCCATTTTGGAAAATGGGAGACCTTGGGATAACCCCTGGTATGGTACCTTCCATAAAACATATAAGTTATGACAATTTTAAGCGTGTTCTGTTTTTCTGTAGGCAGTTTTTGTCCGCGAACCAACAAGAAGACTGGAAGTGAATGCGTTGATGAATGTCAGCCGTCATTAGGTTGCAGCGATACCAAGAAAGAATGTCTCTGTGATGGAAATTGCGGATATAGTTGTGTCAAGAAAGGTGGGTCATAATGGGAATGCAGCGAGCACTCATTATTACAGCAGGGGGAACGGGATGCAGTGTTGTAGCAGGGTGGGAGAAGAGGGAGGGGGAGGGGACGTAGTTTTTTATGAAAGAGTAACTGTCGCATCCCTTACAATCTTAGAAATTGCGACACAGATTTAGTGGTACCAATGCCAAAAATATATCTTAAGAAGAAAAGTATTAAATATAATGGTGACTATAAATGATCAATTAATGCAAAAAAGGCCAATATTTTAAATTACGTTTATTAAAACATAGACATAGGAAGCAACTTCAAGCTGGAGGAGTACTACGTGTTAACGACATTTTATTGCACTAGAAACACTCTCATTCTTTTAAGAGAAAGGATACTTTACGAGGCGCACGTGCTTCTACTGTATGCCGTCTGGTTCCTACCCTACTGGCTAAGAAGTAAAAACTGCATGACATGGACACGTGATAGTTTGCCGACAAAACACCCGTTAAACTTATCAGTTGTTGAAGCGAACAACATTATCATGTATCATCGGCATCGCGCTTTCTCTAAAGCCTGGTTCACACTATATATAGGCTAGCCATTTTTCCTGCGATTTTCTGTTTCTGACGGAGCAAATGAGTGAATTCGAGCTCGCACACAAAAATATATAGATTCGCTTTTGAGAAGTAAACAATTCTAACTAAAGTCTTTTGCATGTTATTAATTCGATCACATTTGCCAGGAGGACAAAAGTCGCCGACAGAATTGTTAGGATGAACTAGGCTTGAAGACCTATGTCCACGATTAACCATGAAAGCCACACTCTATAATAACTAATTATTCATGCGCAAGCTCCTGGCATTCTAAACGAAATCTTGGAAAATTCATCCCCTTCGCAATATACCTATAATTTACAGAACTCAGATTTTAAGTTTTTATTATTTGCCAAAACCAAAAACTGAGTATATCAAAAACAGTATTAGTTATAGACGGATAGTTGTACTCAGCAAAATATCGGAATGTCCTACCATTCAAACTTTGCCGCATCATTAATTTTTTTCACTGTGTCAATTTCCAATACTAGTCTGTCCTGATATTTCTATTCTTTCTTGTTTGTATTTGTAATATGTCAATCTGCACCAGAATTCAAGTCTGCGCAAGGATTTCAAGTCGGCGAAGCCGAGGACTGGGTCAAAACGCGAGGACTTGAAATCTAGGCCAGTCAGAATTGGAGGATTTGAAATGACATGTCGTACCAATAAATCACTGCTTCAAAGTGAGATGAATTAGCCTTTCACACGGTCGATTTTGCGCCATTCTGGGGGTACTGCCTCTCCCACGTTTGACAGTCTCCGCACCAAGAAATGCGACTTTTTAGTATTATAGACGTTTGTATATATAATGGTAAATTTACAGTTACAACTTTTGAAAGTCGCCTTTCGCGTTGTTCGAATTGTTTAGAATATTTTACGAGGGAAGACAGTACCCCAAAATGGCGTATTTTGGCTTTTGTGAGAAAGGCTAATTAATTTTGATTCAGTCGACCAAGGCCTGAATTAATTTCGATTCAGTCCTAGGACTGGATCAATACACTTCACCGTGAGGTATCTAGTTAGTTTCATGTGAGCAAAATAAAACAATATGGTTGGCTAATTTACTCATGAATTATTAATGAGTTTAATATTTATGTCTAAACGCCCCCTTGGAAATCAGCATTTAGCTGAAGGGGTTAGCGTGGATAAATAAAGTATTAATAATAATAATAACAACAAGGACTGGAAAGAATTTTCAATATTTTTTGTAGGTATGCAGTGTTCTCCCCTGAAGAAACTACGAAATGGAAGAATAACGGGCAAAGCTAGGACATTTAATTCGACTATGACGTTTGAGTGTAATTCTAAGTACACACTATTTGGTCCCAGTACTCGGAGGTGTCGCGCGAAAGGACTCTGGGATGGCAAGAAATCTAGATGCAGTAAGTTGATTTGGTCAAACGGAAGTTTTCTGCGGATTTTCCACTTGCTTCGCGTGAAGCGAATTTTTCATTTGTCTTTGATCTCTCAACTGGAACCATCTGGAACTAATTGATAAAGACAAGTGGAAAACCGACTTAAGTATGGGTAGTTTGAAGTCTTCTGGTATCTTTATTGCACAATTATTCTGAAAAATAAATTTTTCAGTGCAGCAAGGCTGTTTTTACAAAACTATTTTTTATAAATGGCTTGCGCACAAAAATGCAAGGTTTAAAGCGCAATTTGAATTGATAAAATGCAAACTTGGAAGGTGTTTTGTGAACTGTCAAAGTACCAGACGATTTGATGTGCATTAAATCCAACGCGCGAGCTCTAACGCCCGTATTCTAAAAGCGCACTCCCGCACACTCACACTCAAAGCGTGGAGGTTCAATCTGGGCTTCCCTTGAGTGTCAGTGCTGTTTTTGAATAGCTGGAGGGTGAGTAGTCACATAGTAAGGTACTAAACTAACCCTCCAGCTATTCAAAAACAGCACTGATACTCAAGGGAAGCTTTGAGTGTGACTCACACTGTGTGAGTGAGATTTTAGAATACAGGCGTAAAACTTGGACTTTTTTGCTTTTGTAGCCTTTCACGCATAATTTATCAAACGCAAAACTGATTTTATGCATGATTGATTTTACTCATGATTGAATTCTTACATACTCTTTCCACAAAGTTTAAAAAGGCTGCCATGGCAAAAAAATTAAAGTCCAAGTTTTAGAGGTCACGCGTTGGCCTTAATGTACATCAAGTTATCAGGTACTAATTTGATAGTCCACAAAACACCTTCCAACTTTGCACGCTATGACTCCAAATTGCGCTTCAAATCGTTCATTTTTGTGCGCCATGCTTAAAGTGGTTTTAAAAAACAGCCCTACTGCGCGCAACAGAGATACCAGAAGACCTCCTAACTACCCATACTAACCTAAGGGTTTCGCAAATTTTGCAGAACTTTCAGTTTAGTGGACATTTTAGAACTGTGTACTATTTTAATGCACCCTGTATAAATCTTTTCGGTTTACCTGGTTTTATAAATTAACTACAACAAAATCAACGTTATTTTCATATCACCGGACAAACGTTGTTATAGATCTACAAACAAGTTGTAACATGGTTGTTGTCAAGTGAATATCAGGATTTAGTATTTTTGCACAAGTGAACATAACAAATCCTACAAGTTGATTGGTCAAATTTGCAGCTAGCCGTTTTGTGGACGTTATACTGATAAAAAATAAGCGAAATTAAAATAAATTCAGTCCCAAAAAACACAAAAATACTAAAACAATTATTCGGCTCAGGCTCGGTGATTATTGGGGAATATTCACCTCGACTTCGTCTCGGCCAAAATTCCCCGATAATCACCTTGCCTTTGGCGAATAATTGTTAAGTGTTTGTACTGCTTGTTCCCAGTTGTTTCGACAAGTCTGCAACAAGTTGTTATCAACCTTGCTACAAAGTTGATGATGGGAACAGACGAGTTGTTTAAACAAGAATAATACAGGCTGTTTGCGTCACAAGTTGCTGCAAGCTTGTTGTCCTCAACTTCTCAACAACTTGTTACGTGCAGACGATTGTTGGAACAATTTATTGCGAGTCTGCTGACCTCGTCAACTTTATCATAAGGTGATAACAACTTGTTCCAGACTTGTCAACAACTGCGAACAAGCATTGCGAATACATATATTGACAAATTGCGAGATTTTTGAGCGTGTAGTAAATAAAACCAAAAAGTGAGATTAACACATTATTGAAACCGAGCGAATACCCCAAAGAAGACGCCATGGGGCCTTGGTCATCCACATGTAATCCAGAGCTCAATTTTTAACGAGAGACAAAGTAAAAATCGCTCTGGGGTCGAGAATTAGCTTTCATGGGAAACGTCTATTAGTCTCTTACAAACTATTTGTTACTAATTCTTTCAATTTTTCTAGAAATATCCTGTCCTGATCCTAGTATACCAAGCAATACG